AAGGGAGGGGTTCGAATCCCTCTATGCGAGAGAGCGAGACGTTTCAACATTTTTCATGTATTTTTCGATTTCATATCGCGATATTATCGACAAAAATATCGATATATTGACGATAATTAAGTGGATATGTGCGAAAATATCTCCCATTTATCAATATTTAATACTATGACTTTGAGAGGGGAGGAAGCTTTTTGCGGTTTCTTTCGATTTGGAATAAGTCACAGACACTCTTTGGGTTCTCTGTGTAATTTTTCTTTCGGTTTGGAATAAGTCACAGAGACTCTTTGGATTCTCTGTGTAGTTTTCACATCTCCTTTTGTGAGAGCTCTTTATCTCTCATTTGTGAGAGTTTTATTTGTATTGTTATGGCTTGATTTTTTTAAAGCTTTATATCTTTTTTATTATTATGAGTTTGCAATCTTAGTTGGGATCGATGCCTATGCCAGAGTTTCTTCAATCCTGCGCGATCTTTAGTAGAGGCGCACCTGATTGTCATAATTTTGATGTTAGATCGCTCCGTTATTGTAATGGTCCTTTGTGGCTAGTAGTTTTGTTTTTTGGTTGAATTATGAATGCAATAACAAAATTTCTCAACAAAAAAAAAATCTCGAAAAATTCTAAAAAATTTATCCAAAATTTCTCAAGATCAATCGAACTAACTTCGGCATCGAAGGGCCTTTGGCCACCAACCCCCAGGTGTGGCCCGTTGACCTAGATTTGTTTTACAAGAACCAAGGGATTAGAAAGAGAAGGAAAATCAAAGATCAATGAATCAACCAGCAAATATTTCCCGTGCGGAAATTTGCTCAAATAAGTATCATATAGGAATATGTGAAAATATTTTACTATAACTAAAGTTTGTTCTTCAATCCTTGTTCACTCACCGATAGGTAATGTCTCGTAAAAGGGCCAAAAAAAATTATGGAAATTAATGATTTAGAATTTGTAAAGTTTCTTGGTTTTTTTTTTCGCCAAATTTTTTCTCACACATACATTGCCAAGGTGTCATGGGGGTTTGAACGTGAGATCACTGGCTTGCAAGTCAAGGGCGTTTTCCACTAGGCTAGAACTCGTTGGCAAAGTTTCTTGTTTGGCTAATAGGAATTAAACACGGAATTTAATGTTTATCTTTTTCTATAAACGACGCATGTTAGATGTCTTAATAGTGGTAGTGATGATAGTGTCATCATGTATGATGTTGGTAGTGGTCTGCTAGGGGTAAAGCGGTGGCGAGGTGGTAGTAAGAGTAGTGGTAGTGGTCAATGATGGTGTGGTTGTGGTTGTGGCAGTCACAATGATCTAAGTTTAGGTGAAACTCGCGTTTGGTCTTTAAGGGCCCGTCTGGTAACGTTTTCGGAGAGTGTTTTCAGAGAATATTTTCAGAGAATGAAAATAAGAAAACAAATTTGCATTTTCAGGAAATGAAAATGCGTCTGGTAGATTAATTAGAAAACATCTTCAGAAAACAAAAACAATGAAAATATGTCTGGTAGTACAATTGTTTTTCAGGTGTATTTTTTATAATTCTGATATTTTTAGAGGCTAAAATTATTATTATAAACAATGAAAAAAATTAAAGCTAAAAAACTATTTTATCACCTTTTTTTTTTCTTCTTCTTCTTTTTCTCCTTTTCTCTCTTTCCTCCTCTTTTCTTCTTCTTTTCCTTCGCACGACTGTTTCTCTTTTTCTTCATCTTTTCTTCTTTCTTCCTCATTTCTTCTTCCTTTCCTTCCCAGGCCGCACCCACTCCTCCTTCCTTCCATGGCATGAATCTCATACACCCACCCATCTCTCTCTCTCTCTCTCTCTCTCTCTCTAGGTTCCACTAATTAATGGTTGTGGTGGTTTGATTGGGTGATGATGGTGGTTGAGCTGGGTATATGGTGGTTCTTCTTCTTGTCTCTGTTTTTCTTTTCTTTTCTTTCTTCCTCTGTATTTTTTTTCTTAGTTTGCAGATTTGTGTTATATTGGGTTAGAGAAGATGGGTGTTGTTCCTGTTGGTAGAGAGGAGTGAGCCAAGCCAGAGAGAAGAGTGGTCAAGAAAGGGGGAGATAAGAGAAGGGTGAGTGAGGAGAGAAGAATTTTGGTTTTTGGTCTGATTGGGAAAGAAGATTGAGCGAGAGAGTGTTTTGAGCGTTTGTTTTCTAGGAGAACAAAAACAACTTTTTTTTGTTTTGTAGAAGTAAACGTGAAGTTGGTTTCATTTTATGAAAACATTTTCAATGTTTTTTGTTTTTGCCTACCGAACACGTTTTTGCTTTGTTTTTGTTTTTTGAAAATGAAAATAAGCCTCTAAAACATAAACGAACGGGGCCTAAAATTTTCATTGTATATACAACGAAATTTGTGTATGTGAATATAGAAATTCTAATTTTTGTTCAAATTCCAAGTTTATTTCACTGATCTGAAAAGCATATGTCATGTAAAACACAAGTTCACCAAAATGTTTTTTTTATTTACGTAATTAAATGTATATAGACTTACGAGTATAGGGAGGTTGGTAGAAAGTTGCATTTCCTCTATACTTTAGACCTTGCTCCTTTGCTAGGTTTCTGTCAACGACGTATGCAATTACAATTTGAAAACTGTATCCCAAGATAAATTCTATTACAATTTGCATAATGATTGCCATTTTCCTTGTAGGCAGATAAATTCTATTTCAATATATTCAGTAGACCTAAAGCAAATTCAATTGAATCAGAGTACAAGACTGATTTTAGAAGACGAAATCGAACGAGAATTAGAGCTAAGACGAAGAACAAAGCTTGTAGCTTGTGAAGTAGAAGCTTTGTTCTTAGCTCTTGTTGAATGAAAAATCAGAACAATTCGAGTAAAAGTAAGATTTCGGAAAAAGAAATCGAAGCATAAATTGAATATTGGACCTCAGAGACGACAAATAATAGAGATCAGAGCTCGGGGAAGAAAACACAAAACTGATCAAACCCGACAAAACATGAGATTGCAAAACCAAATTGAATCTGAAAAAATGAAATCAATAAAACAAATCGAAAACCAACAAAACACAACACATATCAAAATTCTAAAATCTAACTATATAATACAATGCAATAACAATTTGAAAAACTAAAAGCAACCCAGAGCAGATCGCAATACCAAATCGAATATGAAAAACGAAATTAATAACACTAGATAGTAACAAAACATAAATCAATCATCAAAAGTTCACAATAGACACCTCAATTGAATTGAAATCCGAAGAGAATCACATGTTAAATTCAAATTGGGTACTAGCAGGTTTGAGTTTTTTTCCTCTAAAAATCATAGTGCAAGGATATTAATAGTATTCACACATTATTTAAATTAAAAAATAGGACAACTTGCTTGTTTTGGTTTTTTTTTTTTCTCCAAAAATTATGTTTTACTATTAGTTTATAATAGAGTTATTTACATTAATATCCCCTCAGTTTTTTGGTTTTTCTACAAAACTCCTTAGGTTTCAAAAAGTACACGAACACCCCTTGAGGTTTTAAATTGTGTTCACAAAACCCCTTTCTGTTGATTTTTCGTGCAAAGAGTGATGATTTAATATATATATATATATATATAAAATTTTGAAACAACAAAGTTAGGCTTTAAGATTAGATTGCACATTCATTCATTGAGATTAATTTTGTCATTTGCATAAGTTTTTATATGAAATCATAAATTTTTGGACGAACAAATTCCGAAAACCTTTGGCGGTGTTAGTGTAAATAACTAATGCTAGAAATTAAATCTTGTTTATCGATCGTAGTATTAATCAATCATGAAAACCATGGGGCTAGGGGTCGCTCTCTCGTTTTCCCACAAGGAGAGCCAAAACTAGGGTTTCATGGGTTATGGCAGCTAGGTACTAGGGTGTCTTGCCGTTGTCTTCCTAGTGGAATAGAGGTCTAGCGTGGCCTTGTTTGATCAACGTTCAAGCATCATTGCCTCTATCTGTGATGCTTTAACAGGTGGGCTCTTTTGGTGCGAAATAGGGCTGCTCGTTTTCTTATTATTTGGATCTCTGTTTGGAGTATAGAGGTTGATGACTTTGAGCAATCGTTTGGAAGCCAACTGTTTCTCCCTTATAGTGAACGAGTGGGGGTGTTGATCGGCGATTTTGCAGCCTTTAATCGTCTTGCTGGATTATCCTATAACCTTGTGGCCGGGGCTTTGTCTAGCCAAGAGGCTAATTGGGATCTATTTATGAAATTTTTTCCAGAACTGAGGGGGAGCGCGGATGATGTCTTTGTCCAAGAAATTGTGTCACATAGTTTTTGGAGTGTAAGGGATGGTGCCGGCATAGGGGCTCTTGATTACACCCAAGTTTTTAAGGTAGGTCCTTTTGTCCAAGGGGTTGGTGCTGTTGCGATAATAACTGATAATGCAGAGGAGACAGGCCTCGAGAGGTCTCCACTGACTCACAGTTAGTGTGTGGTTGGAGCATTTGTGGGCTTGGCATCCAACAAACGTTCTGTCACCTGAAGTTTGCTTCTTCAAGATAAGAAGACGAGTTGGTTCTCGAGGTAGTTCTTTTTTCCTTTTGTGTTTTGTTCTGTGGTTGTTCGTACAAAGGACAATGTTTATATAAGAGGCCTTCTTTGACAGAACCTCAGAGGCGTTGGTGTGCTCTTTCAATGGGTTTTCTTAGTTTGTGTTTGTGGGTGGTGTATATTTGTTTTAGAGGTGTCTGCTCTGTTATTGTGGTTTTGTCTAGACTCTTTCCTTGCCCAGAATTTCTGAAAAGGCTTTAGCAAGGCCACTGTTATCATGCATGTTCTTCTATAATGTTCTTAAAATATTAATGGAATTCATCTTCTTCTCAAAAAACTAATGGTAGAAATTACCTACAAATTTGTAGACGGAAGTAAAGCAAATTGAGACTTCAATTGTTTTTAAAGGGCAAATGAATAATTAAGACTTGCTTCTAATGGGCTTATCGACTTTGCAGACAATATAAACTTTCGTTTCAGGCCCGTTTCCAAAAGAAAAAGAAAAAGAAAAAACCACCCACGTGAATTGCACGTGTAAGACCATCTCTCATTGGCACCAATACTAAAACCCTAGCAAACTCTACTGCTCTTCTACTTCTTCAACTCTTTCGAGTTCGGCCGCCGAGTGAGAGAGAGCGTTTGGGCACCAAAAGCGAAGAATCTGATAAGTGTCAAAAATGGTGGCCGTGAAGAAGACCAAGAAGACCCATGAGAGCATCAACACCAGGCTCGCTCTGGTCATGAAGAGCGGAAAATACACCTTGGGTTACAAAACCGTCATTGACTCTCTTCGTAACTCCAAAGGCAAGCTTTCATATCTCTTTCAATTTCCAATCTGTCTATTATTTCCATTTTACTGTGATTTGGTTAGTTTTTATTGGGTTAATTTCAAGTTTTGTAATTGGGATTTGTTTTGTTGTGGAACAAAATGCAGGGAAGCTGATTATAATTTCCAACAATTGCCCACCTCTGCGAAAGTCCGAAATCGAATACTATGCTATGCTTGCCAAGGTTGGGGTTCACCACTACAATGGAAGTAAGTGCTCTGCAGCCATAACGTTTGGGTTTGCATCAGATTTGAACTGCTTTTGTTATTATCATTTTATAGGATGTTGTTTAGGGTCTTTGTTGTATAGTTTTCTCTGTTCTTTAACTAACATTGATAAGAACAAAAAAAAATTGTTGCAATATTTGATGGGTTGTGTTCAGCTCACCTAAATGGTAGTTTCTCTACTAGTAAATGTCAAAGAAACATTAATTGAAGTTAGGAAGTGTTTGATAAATAAAAGTAATGTAAATAGGTGTTGGATTATTGGTGGAAAATAAGGGTGCACCCTTTGACAAGCTTGAAATGCATATCAACCTTTTATTTATATCCAATGCCTGCATGTTTAGTGCAGCGGCCTTTGATAAATTTTCCAATTAGTTCTTTCAACCACCGACTAATGCACTCTAAGAGATTCTTAAGTTGAAGAATTAACTTGTCTCAGTGATTGTTGACGTTGGGGATCGACATGGAATATGAAAAATGAGTAGAACATGGAATATGATTCTTGTTCTTGAATCTCACTTGGCTGCTTGTTGCCTCTTGATTACAAATCCAGATGGTTCTGGTGTCAAAATCTCATAGAAACTGTGATGGCTGGTGTTTAGAAAGTGTAAATTAATGTGATATTTATTGGCTGTTAGATGTGGGAACTTGTCTCAGTGTGTTGGTTAAACCATCATTTGGTCTTAGTTCTTGATTGTTCACTAACGTACTTTGTAATGTTAAGCCTCCTTGCCAGGTGATCTTCTTGGCTGGTGGATTTTCATGGGAAATGATGCTTATATATCAGTCTTTTCCCTTGTAATCCAGCAGTTCTTCCTTTCACCTTGTCTATTTGGAGTTAATAGGCGTAATGTCACTAGACATATCCGCATGTTTCTTGTTCTTAGTTCAATGTGTTGATTTGACTTAGAAACGTATACTAGTTGTCCCCAAAGATATTGGTTTCATGTAGTAGTAATTTGTTGCGTTGCTTGGATGAGCAACTCGCTGGTTGCACTCCTCTCATAATGTTCAATGTTTGTATGTGCATGAAACTCATTTTTGTCCTCCAATACAAATGGAAGAGGAATGCCATTTTCTGAGCTTTTATTTAGGATTTTGTCTTTCTGCTCCCTTGCATAACATAGTAAAGATGTGTATGCTGCAGAATGATTTTCTTTTGATAATATCGGTCAACAAAGGAAATTATTTTGTTTACTAGACTTTTACCGTTTCATTTGGCTGACCATTTCTTCTATTTTCAGACAATGTTGATCTGGGTACAGCTTGTGGAAAGTATTTCCGGGTATCGTGCCTTAGCATCGTTGATCCAGGTATTCTGTAGTTCTATTATGATTTTAAGAGATCTGTTTAGGTTTTAATTGATATGAAAATTTGATTTGGCTGACATGTCATTTGTTAATGTTCAGGTGACTCGGATATTATCAAGACGCTACCTGGTGGTCAGTGAGCGGCTGTAGCCTCTACATTTCAAGGCTTTGCTTTCGCTTTTCTATGATGTTTTAGTTACTAAGTTTTCGGATACTTAGATTTTACTATGTGTGAGGTTATCTTAGTAGTGACCTAATGCATGGTGTTTTGATAACCATTTTAAAGTTACTTTTTGTTATATTAGAGAACTCAATTCTGGGTTTTTCTTTCTTTTTTGTGCTCCTACAGTAGACTCACGTGTGTTATTCAACAAACCGGTGGCCCGACCCTGAGGGATATACATATATAGCTCAATAATTCTTTTAACTGAATTGTCATAATAGGCACACCTTAATTACCACACAATTGGTTTTAATTTAAACTAGGACAAAAACACAATGCTCATGCACCCATTGGTCTCTGACTTGGTCCAGCCTAAGCTCCTGGGCCTTGTTTTATAGTTCTCTTGATCCTATGCTGTATTTGAATCTTGATTTGGAGTTTTGGCCTTCATATTTGTGTCACCTTTTTCTAACAACCATTGCCAGTTAGATTGATTTAGTCCAATTAGCTATTAGAATCTCTTACTCCTCTCCGGTTGACCAAATGAAAAGTTAGTAGAGAGTAACATGGATAGAAGGTGGTGGGGCGTAGAATGATAAGACCGTGGGTTTCAAGCTAAAGCTAGAGTTAGTGGGGGAGGAGGGGCTGTGCGGGGTTGCAGAGGAGGTAGGGGCTGCCTTGAGCGAGGGAAGGAGAAGGGAAAGGTAAAGGAGAGAGTTGTTTTTTAATTTAATTTTTTTAACTTTTTATTTTTTACTTTTATAAAAGTAATTAATATTTTAATCAATTTAAAATTTAAAAAAAAAAAAGAAAATGTGGGATCCCTAGTGCCACGTAGGCAACTAACAGAGAGATTTGATGAAAACTCTAACGGCGGAATCACATTGTAATAAATTTAAAAGATTCGGTATATGATTGTAAAAATTGAAAAGATATGGACTAACATGTCTTAAGGGTGTAACTACAGAGTATTAAATTGTAATTAACCCTAATTTTTAGGTCAACTTGATTCGAAGTGATTCTAGGTCAAGTTGTTTATAAGTGAAGGGGTCAATGTAATACAAGATTTTTTGTGAGGTGGGAGTGGGGTGTTTCAAATCTTGTGGAGAAAATATACCAAAAAGAGACTATTCAAATTGTGAAAAACAGAGACCAAAGATGGAAACCGCGCTTGAAGTGAGCATAGCGCTAAGAAGGGAAGAACGACCTTCTTTTTGACAAAATTTAGATTTTTCTCTCTCTTTTTTTCCTTTTCAAATTATAGAATAAACAGCTTTTTAGAATGTTATTTTCCTAATATAATAATTATTTTTATTTAGTTTAAGATTATAAGATTAAAACAACCTTATGAAGTTGTAATCTTAAACTTATTCGTATTATTAACAAATTTATTAAGAATTTTTCACATTTTCTCTTCGACTTTAAAATGCTGGTGGAGTTCATTTTATGTTCTTGAATCTAGATGCTTGTTCATTCTCTTCAACTTTAAAATGCTGGTGGAGTTCATTTTATGTTCTTGAATCTAGATGCTTGTTCATTCTTTTTAGAATGTCAAATTGTGATTCGCAATAAGGAGGAGTATCTCCTTACAAGTTAGGAGGCAAATAGTATCCTTCATTGTTTATGAACTTACACCCATCAAGCTGCGCCTCGGTCACTGCTGTCACTAGGATATTAAACTGAAAATAACACTAAGTACTTCAATCACCTCAACGGTGCACAAGATTCAAATTTGTGGGGTCGCGTTCAAGCCACAACAAATGCATTTATACATTACTTGAAAACAACATGTGGTGCAATCTACCAAACCATGTGTGAAAGCTAAGACTTTAGTACAGAACAATCTGAGGTATTATATTGCCGCACAACAAATGTTGAAAAAAATTTAAATGTTTAGTCTACATTAACAATCTACAGTGTTATGCATTGAATGTTAAAATAAACTTTAATGTACAGTCTAGATTAACAGTACAATTCAACATTATCTTGACAACATAGTTTTACCTTACTTGACCTGTTTTCAAAATTTCCGGGCAAGGCCCCGGTACAGCACAGCAATGTTTATCAGATATTAGCTGGCCCCGCTTATCTTCCTCTCTAGCCAAGACATTCAGCTCTGTAAATTCCAAACAATCACAAACAGAGAGCATTCTCACACTGTAGCCCTCTTGTATAATACTATGCAGATCCCCAGTAAGCCTCACCCATGCCAAAACCAAACTCCTCTAGAATTGGGTCTCAGGGCCTTAAGTCTTGACCCCCAAAAAAACACGTCTCACAAAAGTTGTTCCATGATGCTCTCTGATTTTCTCTCCCCAACTTCTTCTTCTGTATTGTTTGGTGACTACATTGGAATGGAGAGCTCTGTTGATGTGCTCAAGGATAGTGATGTACCAAATGTGACCAATTGTGCGGATGGGCAGGGATGTAATTTTAGTCAGAAATTAAGGGGTATGAAAGAGCAAAAATGGGCTAGGAAGAATAAAGAGTTTCCTCCTCCTATACCCTGGCTGGCTCGCACTGAGAATTTGCCTGCTCATATGCCTTGGGTGTTGAAGAGGCATTACACTAGTGATGGCAGGCTGATTCTCACTGAGGAAAAGGTTAGGCATCATGAGTACTTTAGGGCTCATAGGTCCAATGGAAGGCTTACTTTGCAGCTTGTAACACTTGATGATGAGATTTTGATTCCACCATTTGTTTGTGATGTGGGTAACAAAGATGGGAATGGGAAAGGAATTGAGAATGAGTGTGATGATCATGACCAAAATTTTGATGACCACGACGACGACGACGACGATCATGTGGTTGAGGATCAAGCAATTAATGGGATTGGGGGATCACCAGGCAAATGCTTCAATTTCAATAGTTTGTTAAGAGGGTCACCTTGCATCTTTGGAGTGCCAGTGCCAGCCATCAGGCATGTTCACAGCTAAACTGATACATAAATTAAGATCAGTTCATGTCAATTTTGTTTGTAGGTCATGTAAGCTATGTGTCCATGCTTGCTTTCTATGTTATTAGATTGTTAGTTGTGTCCCTTCAAATTCCATGTGGATTTTTCATGAGGATGAAGATCTCCTCAAGGTTCATTCACTGTGGAGGAATTTGAATTCAATTTTTTTTGTTTATTAGTAATTCTTGCCTGGAGATTATGATGAGGATATTTCATTTCATGTTTCATTGCTGTTGGCTATAATACATTATTACTATTATTATTTTCCACTTGAAAATCATCTCTATTTACTTCGACAATACATGGGTAGCGTTTGTTTAAACAAAATTGCTTTTGTTATTTTTATAACAAAAAATTGCTTTTTTTGGAAATGTCATTTAGGAAAAAAAAAAACTTACCTGTAATGTGTTGGTATAAGAGCATCTTTAGGAGAGTCTCCAAATTTTAGCCAAATTCTAGCTAAAATAGCTAGAAAGCTATTATAGCAAATTGTAACTGTTAATGAGACATTTACTAATAAACAATAAACTTGCCCTTTAAGAGGATTAAACATAAGTCTAATACATGAAATATCCTTAAAAAATTACATCATATGATTGGCTTTTAGGGCATATTTCCAATATATATATATATGTGCAATTTTCACTATTAGTTCTCATATATATAAGAATCCATATTATTTGCATGGTATACTTTGAGGTCAATCTTAGTATATTTTGATAGATATTTAAGTTGAGTGATAGATTTGGACAAACCTTCTTATCTCAAATTATATTGTATTTTATTGAAAACTTAGGAGTTAAGGCTTAAAAGATATTTTTGGTATTAGCATGAGGTGTTGGATCAAGAATATTGTAGCTAGAGATGGTGCCACCATTCTTGCTAGGTGGCAAAGATTGAAGATAAGCTCAAGTTGTTGTTATCCTATACTGTTACCGCCAAGAGTATTAACTAATGAAGGATTCTTGTTGCCTACTTCTACTACTATAAATAGGAGTCTATGTTTACAAATGGTTTACTACATCTAGAGAAGGCATGCATAGTTTGCATGAGAAACGAGAGGGAAAAATAGTGGTAGAGAGAAAAAGAAAGAGAGAGTGGTAATAATATTCTTGGAGTTAAGAGGTCGGAGTTTGTGTTTTCTTAACTTGGAGCTAGCTTTGGAAACGAGGTAGGGATTTCTTGTAGAGCCTTTACGGAGATTGATTTAATTAAATTTTGTGAGCACTATATTATGCATGCTATTATTATTTGAAATGCATAATTATATCATGTCATGAAAATTGGCTGGAATCCTTGGGTTGATAAAGAAAGTATAGAAAAAAGGGTAATGGGAAGGATCTTTTGTGTAGTTGAGTCTAACTCTTGGCAGGTACCAGGTCTCAGGGATCCCACAATGCACATGATTTTTATTGGGTGATTCGGGACTGGCGAAAGGGAGTTAGACAAGATGACTAACAAAAGGGGAATTATGGGATGATTGAAATGGGTGTTAGTTCATATAAATGGGCATTCGGGACCAAGTGGTATAAGCATGGTATGGTATCAGAGCATATGAAAACCATGAATTATCGTGGATTTTTTCTATTTACAAATATCCCTTATTCAATCACGCCCCGGACCCGGGGGTAGGCGGAAACCCCGCGCCCGGTGCGTGAGAAAATAAAAAAAAATAAAAAGAAAACCGAAACAGGGGTTTCATGCACTTGCGGGTATTTTTAATTGGTTGTTTGCACATTAATTTGTGTCCTCTTAGGAATGCAACAGTAGGTGGAAACCCCGCGCCCGGTGCGTGAGTAAAATAAAATAAAATAAAAAGAAATAAAAAGAAAACCGAAACAGGGGTTTAAAATAAACTTCTCTTATAAAAATAGCTCCAAAATCTTACAACTTTACAATTAATAAATAAACCTCTATCACTCTCATCTAATCATCCTCAGATTTTGGAGCTATTTTTATAAGAGAAGTTTATTTTAAACCCCTGTTTTGGTTTTCTTTTTATTTTTTATTATTTTCTCACACACCAAATAAAAGCATAATTTCCAACTTTCATTTATACAAGGGTGAATTGGTGAAATGCCCCTAACTTGTAGTCGTACTTTTGATTCGCCCCCTATTATATATATATATATAAAATTAAAGGCCACGTGAGCAATTAATCCCCCTAACTTATAGAAAATTATGTTTTTTTTTAAAAAAAATATTTGTTTTTTAAAATTTTAAATTATTTTAAAATAAAATAATTTTTTGGTCTACATATAGGCAACGTGAGCAAAAAAATGGGATCCACATTTGCCAAGTCAGAATTTAACAGACTTATTAACGGTTTGACTAATAGAGGGTGTATTGTCAAAGGTTTTGTGAAGTCATGATTAAAAACTGATATTCTAGAGAGGAGAAACTAGAAAATAGTAAGTTTATTTGCTCAGCTACTACCTAATTAGATGTTCCATCACATCAAATTTAAGACCATTCGCCTTTCAAAAATATAACATTGAGATTATTAATTAGTTTAGAAGAATTTGCCTCTGGTATTTTCATCTGAATTTGCCTCTGCTACAGCTTGATTTACCAACATGTCAATCCCAATGTTCGAAACAAGGTGGTAGGCGGGCTGGAAGTAGGGGTCTAATGCCTAGAGGAGTAATCGGGGGCCCATCTCTTCTTTTTGTTTTTTTTCATCAACATATAAATGCAATTTTCCTTCTCAAACCCTAACTCTAACAAGAGCCGTCTTCCAGCCCCTCTCTCTCGCTCAGACATAACCCGCGAACTCTCTTCTTCCTCAATCCTCATCTCTCTGTCTCTCGCTCATAGCACCATCGTCATCTCGTTCCTGACCTTGGAGATTCCAAATGGCGTTTTTTTTTTCTAGGCACTAGCGTCCGCCTAGCACCCCCGCCTAGACCGCCTAGCACCCACCTGACCGCCTAGCTCCCGTCTAGACCGCCTAGCGCCGGCCTAGCGACTGCCTAGCTCCCGCCTAGACCACCTAGCCACCGCCTAGACCGCCTAGCCCGCCTAGCCCGCAAATCTCTATGTATTACCTTCAAACGGGAATCATGGTGGAGACAACGAAGCCCTCTAGCAACACCCTGAATAATCTTGAAGCATCAACCCCAATCAAGCACTGCTCCTCGTGTCATTGGATAAGTAGTGGGTTCGCTCTCCTCATCATCAACGCATAGTTTTTTCGCATGGTTGATGAGGAACTCAACTCCTTCATCACAACCAACTCTAGCAGCAATGTGGAGGGGAGTTTCACCCTTGTTGTTGGTGGTCCAAAACAATGGCGATTGTGGTGGGATTTGTTTGAAGAAATCTATGTGCTTGAACTCAACGGCAATGTGAAGTATATTATTGTCCATAGGCGTTTTCTAACGGAGAAGATCATCTGGTACGTCAGCATCTTTATTTTTTCTCAAGAAACCAACGTCACCCTATCTTGCTGCCTTATACACGGTATACACGGAAGGATCCATGTCTATCAAGTAATGTTTATTGATATTTTAGTGGCCGCTATATGTAAGCATCTTGACTTGTGATGAACTCCGCAAAGCATATATACAAAGATTATTATTCCAGTGCGAGAAAGTCTTTTCAGATTCTTTGCTCTTGGTCTTAAAAATATTGGATTCTTGTCTTCTCCAGGGTGTATCTTCTAGTAGTCTCACTGGACTGGACGGGACCGGACTTCAATTGAAATGGACAAGAGTCCTAGCCGTTGTATGGTGAGCCACATATTGTGTCTTACAAGTCTCACCTAGAGGGGTGAGACTCATAAAC